ACTTTTGATTTCAATTCGGACATTTCCCGAGCAATATTAATTCGCAACGTATCAATATTTGATGCCAAATCATCAAATTCTTTCATATTGCTTGCCTCTTCCTCATTCTTACAAGAAACTATAATTTCCGTATGAATCTCATTAAGCTCCACCCATATTTCATTCATTTTAGCCGAAAAAACATCTAATTCCGCTCTTTCTATTTCCCCAGACGCAAATTTCGGTTTCAGAATATTATTTATACGCGTTACTTTACCTTTCAAAATATTACGTCTTTTCTTTAAAGTTTCCATTATAATTACAAAATACAATATTTAAGATCAAAATATTTATCAACGGACCGAAAATAAGATAAAAAAAACAATGTAAACTAGAGCAATATAAAATACTTTTATCTAGCTCTCTTAATTAAAATCGAAACTAAATTATAAACAATAGCTCAGATTTTTCACTCCGGTCTCGAAGGACCAAAAAATGGAATAAATCTTAAATAAATCATAAACTTATGTAATGAAAAAATCATAAAAGTTAAGTAGAATATCATTAAAATTATAGAAACTAATACAATGTGGGAAAATGAAAATTATGACAACTTAGCACAACAAATAAGTTTTCGAAATCTTACCGGATATATACTTTATTTCTTTGATTGATTATCAGAGCATGATTTATAGATAACACTGAAATATTTTTCATTGAATTATAAATGAGTAATTGAAATTTCAATGGCCATATTGCCAAACATAAATATTACTCATCTACCAACATAATGAATAAATCTAAACTGAAACTAAAAAAAGGAAAGAAAAATAACAAAAACAAAATATTTCTTGATTAACAGTACCATTGGCGCCATCTGTTATTGAAATTATAAAAAGAGTCAAAACAATCTTGATGGCTTCTTTCAACCAGTGCTATGATGCCACATAATAACCTCCATTTATCATACGTTTTATTTACAAATAATTAGTGTAGATAGTTTTGTGCGCATTTTGAAAAACTGTCCTTTACCATATTAGCCAATTTCACCATCATTGCTTTCTTAAGACCCGGATTGCCTTTAAAGACTCACTGTTTCAAATGTTCTTTTGTCTCTATATTGTAATAGAGTATCCATATCTAATTCACTGTTCTGTGTGTGTGTTTCCATCACCTCGTCTGCCAATTTTGCATTCTTTCCTCCATTGTTTTTTGCCTTCTTGGAAGCCGAATTACCTTAAAAACTCCACTGTTTTGATTGTTCCTTATTTTCTGAATTTTAGTCTATGTTTTGTCAACTGTTATTTATCCCCACAGAAACTAGTCAAGATACCCATAAAAAAGAAGTGAACTGTCATAGGAATTCAGGGTTCCCACGATCCTTAAAAATCCTTAAAAACTGCTTAATTTTTATTTTGGAAAATAAGGGCCCTTAATAGTACTTAAATATGGTATAAAGTTTTTAAAAGTCCTTAATTTTTCAGCATTACTATACCCTGTAACAAAATTGCAGTGACAGGGCGACATTGGTCCAGGACTTTACAAACTCAATTTACTCCAAGAGTATCATAAAACTGTGTGGTGTTTGATTGTATTTTTGGCAGTTATTGATATTGCTTTTATTCCGGTTTTAAAATTTTCCGATATATTTTAGACACAATGTATATTTTAGACCGACCAATGTATATTTTATTCCGATAAATTTTAGACATATTTTGACATAATGATTCAATTATTTTTCTATAAATTTTTTGGCGGTGATTTCCACAAAATTTAAAATCCGAAGTTTTAAATGCGATCTTATTTATTATAACAACCGTATTTGAACTTCTCTTTTTTAAAGAGTCCTATTTGCGTGATTTCGTCGTCAATCTTTATTTCGGGTTTTAAGATTTTTAATTATTGTAAGAATTTTAATTAATAATCGTTTCATTCATTTACGAATTTTAACTATGTAATGGATTTACAAAATTCGGAAGAGGAAATAATTAATGTGTGCTATAATAATTAGTCCTTCAAAATGCGAGAATATCGCATATAATATTAGAATTTAAAAAATACTACATTTATAATTAAAAAACCTTTTGAACATTTTTACTCTATACTTCCTTCTGTAAACACAATTTTTCTGTTACTTTAAATTAGTAATTGTTATAATTAAAAGTATCTTGCACAAAAATACTAGTGATGGGGAAGTTTGTCACGGAAAGCCTGAAAAAATTCTGCCACATGGTTATAGTTGATAGAAACAATTTTTCAAGTCGATTTTTTATATCAAAAAGTTGTTCTTTTATTAACAAGGATTAGTCCGTGCATCAAGAGTTGGGCATTTTAGAGAGACAATAGATATGTGTGAGGGGGCTACAGGCAAAGGCCATAGAAATGTGTTGATACCTTTAAAAAATCGTTTTAGACCTTTTTATTTATGTTTCACTGAGAACTAATGAACATATTGGTTTGAAAATTATAAATCTTGTCAAATAATCAAAATCAGCAAATAATTATAAATCTTCTTATTCTATAAAAATTTTCATACAAATATTTAGTGCAATGACCTAAAAAATTTTCTTTTAAGCTTAATGAAAAAAAAAGTGGAATGATTTAAAGTGCTTAGATATTAGTATGGTCTGTTTCTACTCTTATACATAACTCTAATTCTTAGTATTAATTCATTTAATATATATGCCATTTAATATAAATAAAACATTTATTAATAGCATTTATTAAAAACATTTTATTAAAAACTTGTAATAATTTTTTCCCAAATTTCTTTATTTACTCTATTTCTTAAAAATACGAAAAAAATTGTAAATCCTAATTTTACAATTCAATTTCAATTAAATCATTAAAAATGGAATATATATTCGTTTTATGGATGGCGTTAACCCTTAACAATCTGAAAAATATTTTTAAAAAAACTCCACCCTGGTTTGCCAAAAGTTGCCTGGTCCAGCTTTGATGAGCCCTGTTAATTAATACATACAATTAGATCAGTACTTACATTAAAAAAATTGTTTATTATTTTTTTATTTATTGATTTTCTTTTTTAAGACAGGTAAGTAATTGGCACTGTAACTTGTGGTGCATCTATATTCGATGATAAACAATCAGTACTATTTTTAAAAATAGTCTTAAGGTCCTTAATTTTCCAAAAAAAAGTGCTTAATTTTTTTAAAAAGAGTCCTTAAACGTCCTTAATTTTTGCTTTGTTAAAAGAGTGGGAACCCTGGAATTAATCATTGGATTATGTTTATTTTTCACTGAAAGCAAATGCGATTCTCATCTTGTCATGATTGACAAAGTCCCCTGTTGTTGATCCCCAAAGTTGACCCTGTTTAAATTCCTGCTAACACAGGAGTTGATATACCATGACCTTCATTCAAGTTGGTTATATTTTTTAAAACTTGAATTGATTTTTTTAATAACTGGTATGAAACTTATTTTTTTCCTTTTTCTCTGAATAAACCAAATTTTGTTTCTTGAATCGGCATGCATAAATATTTATTGAAACTACTTTTTTCTAAGAAGTGCTTTTGTTGTTATAATGTTAATTCTGTTGTACAGTGCGCAAAAAAACGGACCACCTTAAAATTTTTTTTATTAAATGATCAAATTTTCACATTCTAGGACAAAATCTTAATAGCTTGAGGGGTTGACCTCAAATATGCTAATTAATAAGTGCAGACGATGTTTTAGGTTACGAAATCAGACTCGAAAACTTACTTTTTTGATTAAACATATTTTTTTCCCGACATATTCGAATTTATGAATCCCAAAATATTGGGAATAGCCGCAATCTGAGAAATATGGTCCTGGTAGTTTGGTCAGGAGAGCTCTACAAAGTTGGGACTCCGTAATGTTAATTTTACTTTTTTTATAATTTCTTATAGCTCTAGAACTTATTAAGAAATTGAAAAATTTTTACACACAATTATAAAATTCGTTTATCCAAGGATAATTCAATGCAAAATTTAATTTTTAGTAAAGATTTATTTTTTTATTGTTTTATTTGATAATGGTAGAAAAATGTTTGAATTGCATCATTTTAAAGGATATAATTTTACGTAGCAAAATACAAAATTTGAGCAAAATTAGTTGAATATTTCTTGATAAATTGAATTTTAAAAAACGTTAGATATTTAAAATTGGATTTCTCTAGAACTATTTGTCCGACTTGGCTCAAATTTTGTATTTTGCGGTATAAAATTATATTCTTTAAAATGGTGCAAAAATTTCTATACCTTAAAATTCAAAATTTTTTTGACCATTCATTATTAAATAAAATAATAAAAAATAATGAATGTTTACTCAAAATTATTTTTTGTATGGAATTATCTTTGGATAAATGAATTTTATAATTGTGTGCAAAAATTTTCAATTAACTTAAGAAGTTCTAGAAATATAGCGAAATATGCAAAAGGTAAAATTAACAATAAAGGGCCCAAACATGATGGCTCTCCTGACCAAACTATTGGTACCATATTTCCCAGGTTGCAGCTGCCCCCTATATTGTGGAGATTAGAAATCAGAATCCACCGAAAAAAGGTATGTTTTTTCAGAAAAGTACATTTTTTATGCCTGATTTCTTACTTTAAAATATTGTCTTCACTTATTAATTAGCTTATTTGAGGTCATCCCCTCAAGTCATTTAGATTGGATCTCAGAACAGGAAGATCCGATCTTTAGATCAAAAGTTATTCAGAGTAATTCTTTTTTTGTGCACTGTACATCAATTTACCCTATAACTTATTGATCAACATTTTTCATCAAAGTGATTAAAATATTTTTTTTAACAAAACCTTTTCTCAAAACAAAACAAAAAATTATATAACTAATACTAAAATTTTAAAGTATAATGACAATTAATGAAGGTAAAAAGTTCTATGACTATTAAAGAAATTGCAATTTTATAATTATTTTTCAGCAGAAACTATATTTAAAATTGGTGATAAATTGTTAGAAAAAAACTATTGTTATATTAATAAAAAAATTTATGTTTTAATTATTTTACATTACTTTAGGTGCCTGATGTTATACTTGATTTGCCCAATCCTGACTGGACAATATTTCATGCTGTTCAACTTTTAGTTCAGGACTCTCAGATGGGAACTAGACAAGACAAAATTCGTCGAATATGGGAACCAACTTATACGTAAGTTTGGAAAATTGTTCTGTAGACAAATTAATGGGGTGTGTTTGTCAGTGAATGTTTGTCTGCGTCTGTCAGTAATGAGGTTTGTTTATTAGTGGATTAGTTAAGCATTTTGTTTTTATATTTATTCTTTATTTATACTTATTTATTAATCAACTGTTCTTTTCTTGTTGTTAATGTATAAAGGACATAGTTCCTGTTTGTTGTGCTAGTAACAATTTTAATTCTTTATGCGCATTCAAAAAAAGTTATTTACTAAACATTTGACTTCAGTATAAAAATTTAATGTAAATTTAGCAAATAATTAGTTTTTCAAAATTTAATACTAAATTGAATGTTAAAAAAAATTTCTATGACAATAAAAATTTTTAATTTATAAAATAAATAAGAAAAACAAGGTCTATTGATATTTTTTAAAAAAAATAATAAATTTTAAATGTATGCTAATTTATATATATACTTTAAAAATGTCAAAAATATTTTTTTTCAGATTCATAAAACTTACTGAATTATTTAGTTTTGTTTTTCCATTCTTTTTTTTGTTTATTTTTTATGTTTTGTGATTTTAAATGCTTTCTTTATTTTTAGAATCGTTTATAAAGAAGCCAAAGAAAGAAAACCCAAGGTATAAATAATTTTATAAACTTTGAAATACAGTACAACCTCAAAAATCTAGAAACCTCAAAAAATTGGTCTCTTGAATCTCGAAAACCTCTAAAAGCCGGAATTAGGACAAGAATTAAGTTTGCTAAGTCATTTAAAAAATAATAATAAATAATAATCTTAACAAATTGAAGCATTAGAAATAAAAGCACTGAGCCCTGGTTTCTTTGTCTCATTTCAAACAAACGGAGTTACAAACAAGACAGATGAAGGAAAAATAATGATTTTCCTTCATTTCCTTTTTGCTACTCCATGCTCTCGGAAATGTAGCATGGTAATTTAAGAAACATCTATTGAAGTTGAAGCTGCTAAACAATTTATCAATGGATTTTCTTAATTTGTAGTAAATAATTATCTTTGGACCAACTTTATAATGTAAGTGAAACTGCTTTGTTTTCCCATGTGCCTAGAAAAACTTTTTTGAGTGCCAATTAAAATAACCCATCTGGTGTAAAAAATATAAAAGAGAGTTTAATGAGTTGGTGTATGCTAATACTTACAGCTCTCATCATATGAAGCTGATGATAATTGAGAAAAGTGAAAAGTTATTTGTTTTGAAAAATGTGTGAACTCTACCTCTTGTGTCTAAGACCAAAAACTGTGCATGAATAGACGGAATATTGTTTTAACAATCATTTTGTTCCAAAAGCTTAAGTTCACTTTGCTGTTGGACTCAAAAACTATGCAAAAATTATTCCTTTATTGTATAATTGAAATATTGAAAATTTATGTAAATGATGAACCCACGTTACATACCTTCCTTCAAATTTTATGACACTTATTAAACCAATGGAGTGCTGAGATACTTAAACAGCAAGGTCTTTTTGTTAAAAATGCTACATTCTACTAGCTGGAATAAAAATCATCAGTTTTAAAAAAGTTAAATATAAAGGATGTTCTGTAGTGTGCTGCAAACGCTGGAAATACTGTCTTCTCTGAAACATAGCAAAACGTCTGCAACAATGTGCTATCCTTAATGGTTTTCTTTGAAAAATAAAATTATTTTGAGATTTTTGGACTCTCAAAAGCGCTGATTTTAAATTTAGAAGTAAATAAATTATTTGAACATGCTGAAAAATATGTGTTTAAAATCAATCAAATTTACTTGGAGGAAATTTTGTTTCATGATGATGAATTGCCCATTGTCAATCACATGACTTATGATAATATAAAAGTGGCTCTTCTAACTAGTAGCTGCAATGAAAATAACTGACAGCAATACGCTAGGATGCATCAAATGATGAAAAGTTAGTTTTGATAGACGATAGCATATGAAATATGCACCGTGTTATTAAAGGTTTGAAGGAAAAAAACATCATAGATGAGCATGATTTAATGTCACTTTACAATTTAAACGAAAAATTTTTAACCAAAAGATTAAATTTATGAAAATTCATGATTTTTGATCTGTTTAAAAAATTAATCATGATAACAGCAATTAAATTTGTACATATTTATATATTTTTGTTTTAAACTACTTTATGTCTTATCAATTACATTTTTAATGTTTTTAATTAAGAAATCTGAAATCCACAAATTTCAGAAGACAAAATTCAGAGTCTAGATTTTCGAGATTTTACTGTATATTTGTTCTATTTACTCTAAATATCATCCAAAGCTATTGGAGTATTAAGAATCTTTCTGAATAATTTTAGCATAATTCTATATATGAGTTTGCCATCTCTATTTTGTATTTCCAATTACTTAGTTAATTCAACTTACACTTTTACTTTTATGAATATTATTAACATTTTCTAATATGTTTATAATTCAGATTTTTAAATTCTATTATCTAGTTCAATTTACTGTAAGTTTAATAAAATTAATTATTTATGTTTTTATGCCTGTCAAAGGTCTCAATGTTAGTTCTTGTTGGAATTTTTATGCTATTTAGTCCTTTCAAATAAAATAGCATCCTTGTAGTGTGTCTACCACTACAAAATACAATTCCAATTTACTAGTATATAAGACTTGTTGACTTGATTCTATGTTGGGGTACCTTTTCATAGATGAAGGTTGACAGTGTCGAAAACAACTCTCCTCACATCGGTGACCTTGGGATGAGATGTGAACATGCCAACCTTTACAGTATCGCCCACTTCGATTTGAACATGCCTACTTCGATGGATGGTCCACATTGAACAGTTGACTTTTGACTGTGACATTGTCCTCGTGCTGCTGCTATTCAGTCTCGATCACACACGTCAGCTTGCATACACTCAACCATGTTGGCTTGCATACACTCAACCATGTTGGCTTGCATACACTTGACTGCTAATAGCAACACAGGAGCAACAATGACCGTCAACTTAATACAGCTCTCCCGGCTTCTCACGAAACTGCAATGAATCAACAAGTGGTAATCCTTCATCAGATTCTATCACGGATATAATTCTGGTGAGGGAGTACTGTAGTGTGTCTACCACTACAAAAATACAATTCCAAGTCACTAGTAGACTTGTTAACTTGATTCTATGCTGGGGTACCTTTTCATAGATGAAGGTTGGCATTGGCAAAAACAATTCTCCCCACAATCCTTTTTCTGTTATTTAAAAATGTATTACCTATTCATATTTTATTGTAAGCTTATTTTCTTGAAATCTTCATGTAAAATTATTTTTTAACCTTTTCTGTATTTTTTTAATCTGATATTCGTGACATTTTAAATGTTTCTATATTAGCTTAAATTTTTTTCCTACCTTTTTTAATTTAAATTTTTTTTACAGGATTCTAAAAATGTTGGGAAACAAAACTCAAAAGATTCTTTAAAATTATGGGATCATGGATTTGCAGCTATTACTTCATGCAATTTACCTTCAGTTTCAATGGAACCTACTGGTTGTACTGTTGAGGAAGTGTTACAAGTCTTAAGATTAGTCTACATGCTTTCTAAAGAATCTTCTCTTGGTAATTTATACTTAATATGTTTTCTATGTTTAATAATTTGTTTTAAAGTTTTTTTCATTTAATATGATAATTTTTTTCACTCTTTCGGATTTTATAACTAAATTTAAACATTAAAGGTGGCTAAATGGAAACAACATTCATCTGTTCATCTTGTTGTACTTTGATAGCCTTTAGATAGAGGTTGGAGTTGTGATTTGACTACTTAAAGTTAATTTGAATTGTCTCAAGTTGAAGTTGTTGAATTTCTTTAAATATTGCTAGAATCAAATAGATTTTCAATAGATTTAAGGATACTAAGTGTAGACCTTGTGATACTACTTTTTTTCCTAAGTCAACTTTGTCAGATTTTATGTGTGGCAAAAGACATGCATCTGATTTTATGTGTGGCAAGAGATGTGCATCTGATTTTATGTGTGGCAAAAAATTTCATGTCTATTACAGAGAGCTGGTGAGGGCTTTATTTTCTTTGTTCTGATATTTTACTTTCAGTGAACATTCCTAAGTCAATTGCAAGAACAAATATACCAACCTGTAAGTTCTAGTACCACCAGTGTTTTAAGTAGTAGCAAAATACAAAAAAAATCTTAATTCCTTTAATTTTGCCATTATTTAAAAATTACACTGACATATTGACAGTTCATATATATGTGAATGAACTTCTATTAATTATACTGGCGAATAATTGCTAAGAATGAATCAACAGTTAGATAGATAGCATGAAAGAGGAGGCCAAGGAAAATAGACTAATACCAGAATTCTGGAACATTACAAGACAGGAATTTTTTTTGTGTTCTGTAATCTAGAAGGCTTTGCAAAATGTCAGAGAGACAAAACGGTCATTTTTTGCTGAATATGTAAAATCGAAAAAAATTTAGTTACCTTCCTCAGACATTCTTGCATAAGATATCAATATGGGATATGGCTACCATTGGGGAGAATGTAAGATTCCACACTTCGTATCATGATTTGGTCAACATCACCCAGCATTTGTTGAGGTAATTTATCCCATTCTTTTGTCAGTGGTGTGGGATGAGGATCTCAATGTTTATTTAGGGGGGGGGTAACCTATGAAACCCCTTTCCATAACATCCTAAACGCATTTCTAATAAGATAAAGATCTAGAGAAGGGGCAAGCCTTATGAGATATTGGATATCCTAGACAGATCTGGTGAGCAATTTTTCGCAGTGTAATCACTGGCAGCAGCATCAAATATTCTATTATGAAGCAGCAGAGCACCTTTAAAGTATCTTTGGCCACTCGTAGTGTGATAACATGGAGTGATATGCGTCTATTGATCAGGATTCCATCCTGTACTATGACCTTACACATGTGGTATTGATCCATTTCATGTGGTATGTATGATTGCTTAGAATTGTATGCAAGTCCAGTTGTTTTCCCTCCAAAATGTTGACAAAATTGCAAATATACTTAACAGTGACATCTAAAAAATAGACACTGTACTGCGAACGTGATTTTTCACATGTCATTTTTTAAAATGAATTCTAAAGATTTGAAATAACACTGGCTGGTATCAAACTTCCTGGCAGCATCCATTATTTTTTGCCCTTTTTCAGTCTTACGAATAATATGACTTTGTGTAAAATCTCAAGTGATGTCTGTAAGACATCAAAAAATAAAGATTCCTCTATTGATTGTTTTCCATTGAACTTTATTTTTGAATAACAAGGGTCAATATGTGTCAAATCTTAGGTGCCAAACAAGTTAAGCAATCCAAAATCAACATTTGTCTTAGTATATCGTGCACTCATGTTATCTTCATTATTTTTCTACCTACGATTCTGTGATTGTTATTTGCTTTTTGTTATTAGTCCATAGTAATTGTCCATTTGCTGCTATTCTTGACACTCAACATGCCTTCAAAATTAATATTTCTGTGCACATTTATTATTTTCATATTTTAATTTCATTATAAAGAGTATATTTTATAATACACTTTAATAATATATTTATTCTATTTTGATTCTATAGTTAATATTACTTTATTTTAGACTGGGAGGACTCAGTATTTCAAGTTCCAGCCAATGACTTCATTAGCAAGAAGATAACTACCAAACTAGTACAACAATTACAGGTATTGACTTTATTTCCTGCTAAGCATCTTTTTTTTTCTTCTTCTATACAATGCATACAGTATGTAAAAAAAACTTTGAAGACCGTCAACTATCTCAATGAATATGGATCAGATCGAAAAAGTGAAAATAGATGCATTTAATATTTTTTGTAAAGCTTTTCAATGAGACCAAACTCAATCTTCCACCTTTTACTCCCTGGGGCGGTATGGAGCTACTTTGAAATCTTAAAAATGAATCCTTATTTCTTATTACGAATTCAGATTTTAAAGAAAAAAATAATCCTGTTTGACCAATAGTTTTGTGCATTTTGTTCTACAGATGGTGCTGTAACCAAGAAAATTGAAATAGAATACTAATTGTTTAAAAAAAGGAGAAACTCAAGTCCCATCTGATTAAAAACATAAAAATAGACATGTTTAAATTTTTTTTTAATTTTATTATTATTATTTTTTTAATCTTATGGGTCTTAAAATGCCATCCACCATTTTAAACATAAAAAGTAGGGGTTCATATTTAAGATTTAAAAGTTACCCCTAACCCATCCTCAGGGACCGGGATAGAAGATCGAGATTGGTATCATTGGATAGCTTTTAGAAAAATTTAATGCTTCTATTTCAACTTTTTCAATGAATGCATATTTCTCCACATATTTGACCATTTCCAAACTTTTTTTACACCCTGTATATTAACTTTAGTTATTAATTGTGAATTAGTGCTATGAAAAAAAAAATTAAGAATGCAAAGTAAGGATCTAAACGACAATCTCAAGATAAGTTTCTTTGCTCTTAGAAACCTTATAAGAGCCAAAATTAAATGTTAAAAACCCTTATAATTAGTAACTTGTCTTCTTGAAATTGGAGCAATAAATCCTGATTTAGCATGGCATTCTGAAGAGTTTTTTGATTGAGACTGTTTATATCAATCATGTTTTAACCCTCTGAGCATTAGTTTTCTCCCCAATTTTATTGGTGGTTTTCTTCCATCAAAAGCAAATTCCTCCATGTTATTCAATGAGACAGTAACAAACAAGAAGAAATATTGAAATAATCTGTATTTTTATACTCAGACTTATTATTTGAAAGGTTAAAGGCCACTTAACAAATTATATTACTTTATTTTTAAAGTATTATGCTGCTGCGGCGTATCTGATTTAAAACCTTAAATTTTGGTTTGAAAGGTGTATACAATGGAGCAGCTTATCTGGTGATTTTCCCCCTCTTCTTTCTCCTTCAAGTTTCAAATTCTATATTGAACTGATTCTCTAAAATTTTATTATCACTCTTCCCCCTGTTATCTTTTGAAGTGTTTATTTTTATCAAAGGAGTTATAAATGCATGTGGCAAGAATGCTCTTCCAGCAATGACTCTGGGAATCACAATGTCTTGCAAGAATCAACAGAAGTACATTTCATTTTCTCTTTCTTCTGCTGCAGGGGTGAAGAAATAAAGCAGTGAAAGAGAAATATGGAAGTTATTCTCTAAAAGGGATGATTTGGGTGAAATGCTTTAAGGCCAAGTTCATTTAAAATTTCAGCTGAAGGTCGAATTTTTTTTTAACTATAGAAATATTTGATATCCAAGATTTCAGATATCAGAGTAATGATGATATATGATTTGCTGGTGAATAAATGGAGGAAAGGGAGAATCTGTGATCAGGCTTTTAAATTTTTGGAAGTCTGATTTTATATTTAAAGTTTATTTTAAGTGTTTAATATTTTGATTTATTTATAATTTTGATATCATAATTTATGTGATTTTTTTCATGATGCAATTTAGTGTAAAACTAAATTAATTTAAGCTTATTATTACTACTTTTTAAAATTTCTTTTTAGCTGTTAAATCATTTGATTTATATAAATTTTATGTATTCGAAACTAAAAATAAAAAAGTTATAATGTACTAATAAGTTAGTTTGCAATTGTTCTGTGTGGTGCACACTTATGCACAAAAAGAGATAAATTTATTTTTTATTGAAATATTATTGAAATGATTTTTAGTTCTTTTTTCATTTTGTTTAACAGCATTTAGTTATTTTAAATCAAATTAAAAGATGTGATGCAGTCGCGTTTTAATTTATATTTAAAAGTTAAGTAAGGCTGTTTATTTAGCTATTTAATCATTTGATTTAAATGTAATTGGAATATTATAGATATGCATTTATTCTTATGATGCGTTTGTACTGATGAGTATTTTCCCTAACAGTGTTGAAAAATTGTTTTTTACTTTGCATAATAAATGCAAAGTAATAAGCTGAGGATAAATCAATCATATAACAAAAGACAAACTAACTTTATTCGACAATTATGCGTGATTAAATTACAAATGGTTCAGATGATATAAGACAAATATTATGTTAGACATAAATGAGCCTTATTCTGAAGCACAAACTCTACCTCTGCATAAGTTTTAATACCCTGCATGATGGTACGTATTTCTTATAGACTGAGTAAGTATGAGCAAAGATTTAAAGAAAGTTTTGACCTTTAAACATCAAGATTCAATGTCATTAACCAATTACAGCCTAATGAGCATCTTGCCCAAATTATTCAACTGGTAAATGAAAAGTTGAGTTGTTACTTACTTCTCCCATGAGGAAAACATCAAACCTTCATGACATCATCCCGTGTTGTATGATTTTGATACGAGCATAGATTCGGCTCATCTGGCATGATTACTGATCATGTTTTTAATATTTTGAAAAATTATCATGTAAGTTAAAATCTGTTATTTTTGATTTAAAGCAACATTGCCGGTATTCATTTATTGCATCTTTATCAATTATTTTAGTAATTTTTAACTGTGTAATCATTAATTTTATGTATAATTTGTTCTAAAGATCAGTGTTTCCCAAACTTATGACTTTTGTGTACCACTTTCTAAATTTTTCGTAACGCTGTGTACCACTAAAAAAAATTAATGTATTTTTTTACTATAAAAAAAGTTGCTCATAAGGTAAAAATCACAACTAGCGGTTGAGCCACTCATTGTTAACTGTTAACTCTGCGAAAATAGCCAATAGAAAAATACGTAATCGTAAATTTTCATGGCTAGCTTTGTTTTTAAGTAAAATGTTTTGAAATTTTCGTTTGTTGCAAGATATTTCGCATAAGAACGCGTACCCCCACTAAACTGTTCCCGTACCCCTGGGGGTACGCGTACCACACTTTGGGAAACACTGGTATAGATCATTGCTTCTCAAGGGGAGGCGATACCTCCCCCTGGGAGCATTGGGAGTATGCTGAGGAGCGGTGAACTTGTTTTGCCCAGTTTCGATTCGATATCATTGTTTATTTAGCCTGGTATATGCGTGAATTAGTTCTTTACCATAAATTATTGGGCAGCTCTGACGAGCAGGGCACATCGATCAGAGGTCTATTGTACCTAAACCCTAGTCGTGATTAGCAAGAAAGCCCTATAGCTGAAATAAAGTTCAGCAAGCACCTTACAGTAACAGCTTGCAGTTCCCAGGCATTGACGCAATGCTGCCCTAGATGCTCAAATCTTTGAGCAGAATAGACATCACAATTTCAAAGTATGTGTCGTGATGTCTCTTCTTCTAGATGACATCCCCGATAAAGAGAATTGGATTCTATTCCCATAATGTTTAGGTGTCTCCTGAGGATACAGTGACCAGTAAGAAGACCTATGATCTTTCTTATACTGTTTCAATTAAGCTTTAAGAGCTCCTTTTGATGCACACTAGGACAGTCTCGATTCAGCTCCTTAGCTTGTCTCTGACCATCATCAGCGTGCCATTGCTCATGGGCAATCTTGCCGTAGTGCTTGAAAATAGTTGCCCTAAATGAGGAGGGAGAAATTCCCAGAGCAGGTTCAGGGCACCAGAAAATTGCATTAGAGCCTGCCCATGCTGCTTCATCAGCTAGCTCATTTCCACCAATACCCATATGTCCAGGCACCCAAAGCAGGGATACCTTGTTATGAGCGGACAGGTCACAGAGGACCGAGAAGCATTCCCACACTAACAAAGAGGTGAATTTACACCTTGACAGTGATAGGAGAGCAGCCTGACTGTCAGAACAGATGCGGATAGTGCCCATGTTTTTACTTTGTAACAAAGTTATATCTAATGAGACAATGAAATCTTTCCTTTAGCAGGAGCATTTGCAAAAAACTCATCCTGATAAGCAAAATAAAGATTTGTCATTTTTCACAAACAAAGACAAGTTTCTGAAGGCACCTTCATTCTCAGGATTGCTAGCAACCTCATCACAAAAATGTGACGATGATTTGATAACTTCTTAGAATATGTCAAAATTTATTGCTAATTCTGGGAAAGCTCATACCATCAGCGCATAGTTGATACTGCTGGTTGTCAAGGAAGTTGTAGAACAGGGTTCCCACGGTCCTTGAGATTGAATTTTTTTGTTGCTAAATTTAGGTCCTTGAAAGTGCTTGAAAAACGTCTTAAGTCCTTGAAAAACTTGATAGGTCCTTGAATTTGTCCAATACTGCTGACGGCCCTTTTTAGACTTAAAGCATGCTCTAAATACGCATGCGTTTATAATTTAAATAGTTAAATAAGAGTCAATAAAAGGATTTTGAATAAACAAAGAATAAAAACAATCCTAGCATATAAAATAGATTTCAATAACCTTCTAAATAAAATTGAGCATTTTTTAATTTTAAAGTGAAGTAACCATTAAAATATAAATGCAATAATTAATATATTAAAAATCATTAAAATAAGCATTAAAATTTTTTAAAATAAAGCGATTTTACTGTTAAATCCTGGTTACTATTAAATCCAAAATCCTGTTTTTGAAACAAACGATAAATCCAAAAAAAAAATTTCAAAGAAAAACTTATGAATAATTTATTTAGATATTACTATATATTCCTATCACTGCACTTAAGAATTCCTCAAAATCAGAACTCTCTGTATCAGAACAAATTAGGTTTATTGTTTATTTCGGGTTCATCTCCGTCCCTGACACTTTCAGCCTCACTTTCGGTTTCGTTTTGTCCCGGGATGATTTCCGCTTTTTTGAAGCCATTTATCACAGTTTCTTTTTCAATTGCTGACAGCTTAAACGCAGTGGTATATTTTTTTTCTCTTAATTGGAGGCATTTAAAATGGATAATTTAAATACAAGTTATGTTAAAATGAAACGAAAATAGAATAAACAAAACAAAAATAATAATAAAACAAAAGCGCATCAGAATTGAAGATAAAAGCAATGGGGGGAAAAACGAAAAGCGCTCTCCCAAGCATTTAAAACAAGTTTCTATTTTTATAAATTCCTCCCCCTATTTTCCCTTCTCAAATCAGGTTTCTTTTTTTAACTGACTCTGCTGCCTTTTCCCCTCTTCACTGACCCAAGTTTGAAATTCTTTTTGAACATTCCAATTGTAAGATTATTGAAGGTCATTCCAAACTCATCAGCACCCTTTGTTCATCAAACATTCACATGTTTTTAACAACCAGCTGAAGAAAAAAGGAATGTGGAGAGAGGCATATTTCCTGGGAAAAAAGGAGGGGGGTGCATTTGTTTTACAGTTGACATTATCACTGGCCCCACCCTGATTTTCTTCATTCATTCCTTTCTGATTTATGCTTCTCCAGTCCACGCCCATTTCCTACACTCAACAGCTGTTCATATGGCAGAAGGGAAACAGAGACTTTTTTCTTTTGTGGATTGTGGTNCCACAACAAGCATTGTTGCTTCTAGTAAAATAGAAGAGAATAATTTTTAAAATTGGTCTTAGATTAAGGTCCTTGAAAATTTTGTTGAGGTCCTTGAAAAGTCCTGGAAAGTCCTTGAATTTCAATCTCATCATAGAGTGGGAACCCTGTAGAAACAGTTTTACACCATCCAGCCACATCCAATGAAATCAAAAATATCCCATTAAGCAACGATACAGTGCGGGGACGAAATGGTGAGATGGCGGAAGACGTTGAAGTTTCTTTATGCAAACTTTTGATATCCAACAACGATGAATCAACCTTGCCTTGCAATGTAGGCCTTACTGTAGGAGTAGGTCCGGTTTGTAAAGATAGGAAAAAGTATTCAAGAGATGCTTTTTGCAAGAAGCTTGATTGTAGATACCAAATTTAATGATCAAAAAAAGGTAAATCTATTTTTATTACTATCCAAGATTATTTTACAGAGAAAAACATTCCTCTTCCGAATATTATGTCGATTGCCGCTGATGGAGCTCCAGCAATTGTGGGTCGACATCGTGGGTTTATCGCCCTTTTGAAAAGGGAAATACCAGATATTTTAGCTGTTCATTGCGTGATTCACAGACAGCATTTAGTAGGAAAAAATCTCAGTTACCGTTTGCATCAGTTATTGCAATATGTCATATTTGCTGTGAACAAAATTCATTGTAATTCTCTCAACAATTGATTATTCAGACAGCAGTGTATGAATTCAATCGCTTGCTACTTCACACAGAGATTCTATGACTTTCCATTGGCGCCAATCTCAATAGGTTTTGGAATCTTTTCGACTCTGTGCTACAGTTCCTTTAAAACAGAGATGTAACTCTAAGAGACAGATTGCTAGAATTTAAGAAAGACTTTGGTGGATTTATTTGTAAAATTTAATGGCATTAATTTACAACTTCAAGGCGGCGAGCTAAATTTGATCCCTACAAAATCAGTCATTTCTGCCTTTCTGAAAAAACTCATTTTGTGGAAGCAGAATTTAAATTGGAATGAGTTCAGTCCAGCAGGTGAAATTCTCTCTGATGCACAAAAATATTGTCAACACCTTGACTCTTTCCACGTGATCTTTTTTGACCATTTTAAAGATATTTTGTTCCCTGGAAGTTCACTGGGTTATTGGATTATGAACCCCTTTGTGAATATTGAAACAGCAGAGGTTCAGATTTATGAGGAATTGGTCAATCTTTCAACTAATGAAACTTTGAAGTGGTGATCGTCTCAGAGAATTTTGGCTTCAAGGTAACATCAGTCGCCTCTACCCTGGACTGCGGATTATAATAAAAAAAAATTTAAATGCCTTCCTTCCTCCTACCTTGTCAAACGTGGATTTAGTGCTGTTACGTATCGTGTCACCAAAAAAGAAAATTCAACTCGAAATTGTGCAACGAGAGGACTTGCGTTTTCAACTTACTAAAAGTATTGAGCCGAACGCTAAGAAACTAATGTTTTGTTGATACTACTTTTTAGTGTAAAAACATTATTTTAGGTGTTTTTTTAAATATCTAATTAAGAATAAGTGATTCTTTTTAAGCATAGGTTTCTTTGTTGTATTTTTTTCATTACGTATTTATTTTAATTATAACAAATAGACTGTGATTACATGCCTTGAGAAAAGTAATGAGTTAATGTACATATTATTTTTTTAAAAACCAAACAAATTTAATTCTTAAAAAATTGTTTAATGTTGTCTCTTATAATTCAGCACGCCTCTTTCCATCACCATGCTCTAAATAACTGGATTTTCACAAAGGGGGTGTTGAAATGTTTTTTGCTCCTTAAGGGGGCGGCAATGTAAAAAAAAGGTTGAGGATCTATGGTATAGATCCTTCATATAGTAAAATTTTGGTACAATGGTACAGCCTTTGGAATTGACTAGCCCAAAGTGATGTTTCTCTGAAAAATTTAAGTTATGATGTCTTGTCTAAAAGATGTATATATCAGGTCTGAAAATTTTAATGTAAACTAATATGTTTCTTCTAGGACCCACTAGTATTATCTTCAGGAGCTCAACCAAGTTGGTGTGAATATTTAACTTACTCCTGTCCTATGATTTTTCCATTTGAAACTAGAAGTTTATATTTTACCTGCACTGCATTTGGAGCTTCTAGGTGAATATTGAGAATAATTAGTAACCCTTAATATAAGTTAGAATTTACCTAGAAATATTTCTTCACTCTTATGGAATTTTTTATAGCTTGTTCAACTGTATGGAAGCAAAAAAAATTCCTAAAATAAACTATCTAATTTTGTTTCATAATAGTTTTTTTTTTCTCCAATTTTCAGTAAGTACTGTTTAATTATCTCTGTTAAGAATTATCTCTATCATTAGATGCTGTGCAAATTTGAGCAATAATTTCAAGCAAATAAGAAAAAAAGTTTATATATATATATGTATGTATAATAAATAATTAAATACAAGAAAACACGAAGAAAGTTAGGAAAAACAATAAGTTTCAATAAGTAATTTTAATATTAATAAACTAATTACTTGGAATTCTAATGTTTCTAGGAGCATCTATTTAAATACCACTTTTAATGAAATGAACAGAATTAAAAGAATAGTAATTTTAATAGTAATATTAAAATTACTATTATAATATAATAGTAATAATATATTATATATAATATAATATATAATATAATAGTACATAATACAAAATATAATATCACATAATATATAATATTACAATATAAAATATAATATAACTCTATCTCAGTGATTCCTCAGAAATAAAATAATTAGTGTAAGAACGCCATATGCCAGAGCTCGAATAATGATGTTGATGCTTAACAAAACTAAAGTGATGGACGTAGTTAAAATGTAAAGCCCGTTAAAAACTTAAAAAAACGTGAAATATATGTAATTCTGATTTCAGTCAAATGAACATCGCTGCATTGATTAGGTTGAATGAGTCTAAAACTTTAAAAACATTATTTATCTCTGATAAATTTTTTAAAAAGGCATATATATCTACGCTTCAGAACTAAATAAAAGAGTACTTTAATTTCGTTTTGGAAACTTTTTGTACACTGAGTAGGTTGATTGAATGTTTAGATAATTAATTGATATGATCCTCAAGATTTACCATAAAGTCGATGACGAATAACTGAAAAAATGCTGTAAATTAAAGAAATGAGGCATTTTGAAATTAACAACTTTGTTTCTCGGTCGTGAAATGAGAGAAGGTTTAAATCTTTAATTTATAATTTTCCAACGATATATTTTACACATTTTATAATGTTTTGAGGGTAAATAAAAATAATAAAAGTTTCTCATCTATAGACTGGCATTACTATTAATGGAATAATATTTTGATAATAAATGTTACATGAAATACAGCTCTTTTCTATAGTTTAAAAAGAAAATAAGTAGAAATGTAAAAATATACTAAGTAGAAAATCGGAGGTCAAAATTAACAAAACTGTCTAACGAGTGTGACAAATTTTGAAATCATTTCAAAATTGCACGTAATAAATTGCAGATGAATATGGTGAACATCATTGACTCATGGCATTAGTCTTCGTGATTGTCTCACTTGAATATCTGTATTTCAAGTAGACTGACATCTTCTTTTTTATAAAACTTTCTAAGAAAATTTGAATATTTATTCACTTGAATATCTGTAATTCAAGTAGACTAACATCTTTTTTCTATAAGACTTTCTAAGAAAATTTGAATATTTATTCAAAGTTTTCCACAAATCACTTCCAATTATGATTTATACGAATANTTTGAACTTTTATGTATATATATATATATATATATATATATATATAAAATCTGATAAATTAATTAAAATACAAATGCGCTTTATTTAATGTTTTACTGCACTATAATTCAGATAACTATTGTTATGTTGATAAAATAAATTTTTTTCTTCAGATTTTTTATAAAATCCTTTCAAAAATATGGAAGAGAAAAAAATATTTTTATGAACTTTTGACCTTATTTCTTCAATATTTTATTTACTTAATTGCTTTATCAATGCATTTTGTGCATTAATTCTATAGGATTGCTTTCTTTATTATTATCAATGTACATACTTTTCATATTTCATTCTGGCTTTTCAATTTATGATTGACTGTTTCTTATGATATTTGAAAAGCATTATTTTGTATTAAAGTATTAAGTTTTCATTAATAATTTCTATATTAATATTTCCATAGTAATATTTCTGCATTAATATTTCAATATTAATTCTATATTCAAGAGTATCTTTTCTGAATATGTTTTCTTTGCTAAGCATAATGGCTTTCAAACCGATTGTTTCTATTCTCTTTTTAACGTATCCAGTTTTGCTTACTTGATATAATAAAAAAATGGATTTAAATTTAAACATGTATGTTAAAGGCCTGCAACTTATGTAATTAAGTATGAAAATGTCTATTTATTAACCAAAATACTTGTGTACAAAGTAATCAACTAAACTAATATATTTAAAGTATCTTTTTTCATATTTTAGTCTCATGTCTCTCTTTTTCAGGAGTAGTAAGCCCATCCAAGTTTGTTTCAGATAAAAGTACATGTTTTTTAAGTAACAAATTAGTGTAACTTATAAGGTATTGGTATTTCACATAATTTCACTTTTTCAGAAAAATAAATCAAATTACTGAATGGAAATAGAATTGTTGGAAATAGAATTTCATTCTGTAAACAGAGGATTTTATATGGAAAGCTAAATATCAGTTTTATAGACAAAATCAAATAGGTAGGGTAGCTGTGGGGATTGAGGTATTTCGATAAACTTTTGTCAGGATTCCATAGAGAAAAGCTCTTCGGAGCTAATAAAGTACACAAATGTGTTGGTGGTGAAGAATATATATTAAAAAGAACTTTTTTTAAAAAGAAAAGTATACAAATGCTTTTGTATTTCAATAGTATAAGATTCAGAATAATCGGAGGTAAGAGTCAATACTTACAATGAAATGTAGTGTTACAATTATTTGCAGCGCATAGTGTTTACTATAACATACCACTATAATTTATGTTATTAAAAATGCTAATGTACTATTGAAAAGCAAAAAATAGAGCAACAGAAATTTTTTTGCCCCTTCTTTCTTTTTTCAATTGGTTGTTCCCCTTGTTGATAGGTCACACTATAGGGTTGGGTATGTATGGAATTTATCAGTCCAGTTAGTATTCTAGGTTAGTTGATGAAATTTGTATTTGTTCTTCCTCTTACCTTAAAATTTTCCTAAAAGGAAATATTCTACACAGTTCTTTTGTAGGTATGTTTTTCCTTTATTTTTATTTATATTAGCTCATGGTTTAATGATAATTTTCTAATACAATTTACTATGTTAAAAATTTAATGCTGTCGTTTGACAATTTACCTATAGGTGAAACTATGCAATGAAATTATTGGTGAAATTTTCAACTTTCATTGAAATACAGAAATTCCTATTTATTATTTTGTGTCGAATCTGTAATAGCTTTCTTAATAATTTTAAGTTACTTCAAAAAATTGTTAAGTGATGCATTTTTTATACTTTTCTTTTAAAGTTAAAATAACTAGGAAATGAATTAACAATTTTTCTTACTGCTAAGTGAAATTGTGTCAATAGTGGTAAAATTAAATTGGTGGTTTTATTTAAAAGTGTCCTTTTCGGAAATTAAGAATACAGTGCTCAATCTGTTCATAAATATTTTCAATTGATTTTTTTATGTAAAAACGTAAGACACTCCTCACAACAGCTATTTCCTTGTTGCCAGAGTGCTCCAACAATAGCTGTAGTGTTTGAGACTAACCGCATGACCAAATTACATAATCCCTTTAATGGTTGATATGGTTGAGAAAAACCGACTCTTCCACTGAATTCAGCATTTCAAAATTATTTAATTACATATATTTATTTACCAGATGTAAAACAAATAAATAATAAAGTAAAGTAAATTTGTTAAGCGGTGTAATATTACTTTTGGAAAGTAAATAATTTTATTGTTCTCTACATTTGATGCCAATTTGGACCCTACATTGTTGCAACGTAATTATTTAAATTTATTTTTGGTAGATCAATTGTGTGGCTTCAGAATCAGAGAGATTTAGCATTAGAAAGAAACCGTGGTCCTTCTCCTAGACGAGATGATTCTCATGAATATCGAATTGGTAGGTTAAAGCATGAACGAGTTAAAGTTCCTCGAGGAGACCAATTATTGGACTGGGCCATACAAGTTCTAAAAGTTCATGGTGATAGGAAAAGTATTTTGGAGGTTAGTAAAACTTACCGTTGTTTCAACACACTATTTTAATTTTAATCTTCGTTCGATTTGGAAAACCATCATTTTAATATTTCATTTGAAAATGTTTTAGACTGACTCATTGTGTTTATTTTCTTCTGTTATAAATTTATCTTTTTAATCAAGGGAAAGTGTTTACCTATTTACTTTGTTATTATAGTTTTTCTCACAAAGTATAATGTATCTGATTTTTAAATATGCAACTTAAAAAGTTTGAAAGATGTTGATTCTGCTTGATAGTGGCTTAAATAATAGTATAATGATGACCTAGTGATGTTTAATGGGGATGTTAGAACTTTTCTAAGGGCACTGGATTTTGTTGAATTTAAAAAATCGATTAATTGGTAGCACTTAGCTTAACTAAAAAATTTTCAATAGATAAATTACAAAGACCAAAGCCCAGCTCCTTATCTCCCACGAGAAAAGGTTAAATAAGGTTGGTATAATATTAAAGCAGAAAGTGAAAGAAATTATGACAATATATCTTAATCAAACGGACACAACATGTTTTTAATCTGGGTCAAGTTTAAAAAAACACATATTTTTGAACCCATGTGGCTAACAGATACTTTAAACATAAATATACACAATGTTATGAATTACATAAAGAATAGCATGGCTTATATATTTTCGAAAATAGAAATAAAATATTTAGATATGTGTTAAAAAATATAAAAATAAAATTTCTCATTAGTATTCAGGTCCCACATGTTTTTCCGTTTTCAAACACTGACTATCTCTTTCTCCCTCTCCTTACCGACAGCTTTCTTTTTTCACTATACTTGGTTCATCTCATATGACATGAGATATAGAAAAACTGCAAAAATATGTTATGGTCCTGTTTATTCTTGCTGATATACCATTAGATCAAACTAAAGAAAATGAGAGGCTAGCCAAAACTTATCTGAAACAGAAACTGAAAGTAGTTAAATTTAATCATGATCGTGCTGTCTGGGAAAAAGAAACAAATTGCGTAGAATAATAGAACTACAGTGAAACCAAGATTTTACGTTTTCGGTCGGACTAGCGATAAAAAACGCCCGAAGCGGAATAACATAAAATCGGGGTTAAGAAAAATCTATGCACATTTTTAAAAATTGATACCTACCAGTTAAATTAATGGAAAAAATGAGTAATCTTTACTTGCTTTTTGTTTTTAGCTACAATTTCATGTACAGCTCGTTCAATACTAACAATTTTTTGCAAATTTGCTTCTTGATTTACATTTGCAAGTAAAAATTGTTTGAGTTTTTATGCTTTGTGTCGCTTGATCAGCTGTTGGCACGTCTCCTGTTATTTCATCTTCATCGTCATCAGCACTATCGTCGGAATCAGGCATTAAATCACTTATGGAAGGGATTTCTGAACTAATGAGATCTGTGTCACAGTCGATGTATGCATCATCGACTTCCGGAAGATCCTCAACTTCAGACACGCTGCATTCTTCTTCTTCCAAAGCAACAGCGCCCTCCTCCTCCGATATTGAAAATCCTGCTTTATTGAATCCATTGATAATGCACTTTTGGTCGACACTGTCCCAAGCTGAAGATATGAAATTAAGAGCCTCAAGAACATTAATTTGACCCTAGAAGCATCCTGAAAGTCATCAGAACCAAGAAACATTAGAGATTTTCTAACCAGTTTCTTCCAGTAACTCTCTTTAAATAATCAGAGAACTCCTAAATCCCGTGGTTGAAGTTCGCTTGTACAGTTAGCTGGAAAAAACTCTATTCGCACGTTTTTCAATTTAAGGTTTAAATGAGCAGTGCATTGGTCTAGGAATAAAATTATGTTGCGCTTTTGAAAACTCATTTTCTTATCCAGTTTTCGAAAAAAAAAATTCAAATAATGCTTGCGTCATCCATGCTTTTTTGTTTGAAGCGTAATCGGTAAGAAAACTCTTGATATTTTTGAAGCACTGTGGTTTCTCTGCTCTACCGATCACTAGAGGCATTAACTTTTGGCTTCCATCGGCATTTGCACAGAGCAAAACAGCCAACGAATTTTTGAAAGCTTTCCTCCATGGCAATTTTCACCTTTTATTGTCAATGTCTTGTTTGGCAATAGGTTAAAAAACAATCCCGTCTCGTCTGCATTAAATATGTTACTTGGATTATAGCCCTTTAATAAATTTGGCAAAGTTTCTTGTAGTTCTGTTGCACAGTTGTCATATCCACACTATCGAATTCGGCACAGATAGATTTGAAGCATAAATTGTTCCTTTTTTTTTAATTGATCAATCCAGCCATTTGATGCACTGAAGCCTTGGAGTTTAAGCCTTTCAGCAATTTCAAGCACCTTTTCTCTCAGGATGGATCCATTTATAGGAATCTTGCTGCTCTGGCTTCCTTGAACCAGTTCATTAAAATTTTTTCTAACTCATCATACGGAGATGTTTTAAGGATTTTTCTCTTCTTGGCATATTTTCTGAGTTTTTCAGCGTTTAGCTCTACTGAAGCTTCTTGCTTTAAAATCATTTGCAAAGTTGAATAAGCAATACCTAAAGATTTAGCGAGATCAACTTTAGTGCCATGAAATTCTTTAGCTTTTTCCACGATTTCAGCCTTTTCGGCCAGAGAAAAGCATTTTCGTTTCGAGAAAAGAACACGATGACTGAGTTTTCGAAAATGAGAAAAAATGCTATAGCTTTCAAACTCAAACAAAACCGACTGAAAATCTGATTTGGTATGCTAGCACAGAAAAATGGGTAAAACCATTTCTCATGGAACATTGAAGAAACGACTCTCTCATTGAACCATCTCTCATCATCATCATGAAACCATCTCTCATTGAAGAAACGACCACACCTCTCTATTCAAAGTGACTTATCTTCGTATCGCAAATAAACACCGCCAGTAAGACGTTTGGAGTACATGTGAAACTCGATCATTACTGACAGTTGTCTCTCTAATCTCCCCTCTTTCTCTTTTGTTGATAGGGAGCGGGGGCAAATAGAAGGCGTAGATGTGATACTTCCATCACTTGTGGTTTTAGGATTCCAGTGAATTGCGTCTTCCCCCACCCTTCCGTTAGTGACAGAGAGGAAACTTCACCCCCCCCTATTGAAAAATAGACAAAACGGAACAGAAAGAATGCAAGAATTGCTCCATACAGCTGAAAAACAAGTTTTTCTTGTTCAAAAAACTAGAAAAAAGTTTGTGCGAGAATTGTAGAATAAAAAATTATTTTGATCTGTTTGTAGAAAAACGCATCAAGCGGGATTTTCATAAATGGTATAACGCAAAATCCGGGGTTTTTTAACATTAACGGTATATGCAATTTTCACGAATCAGCAGAAAATGACGTAAGAAGCGGGATAATGTACGAAACGGACAATGTAAAATCGGGGTTCCACTGTAATAGAAAAATTCAATTTCTTGCATCACAAAAAAGTTGATATAGCAAAGTAACAATGCATTAACTGTTTTCTCTTTTTAATAATCGGATAATTTATAAAACAGGTTGAATTTCAAGATGAAGAAGGAACAGGATTAGGACCAACTTTAGAATTCTTCACTTTGGTTGCAGCAGAACTTCAACGAAGAAACCTAAAATTATGGCTTTGTAATGATGACATAAAAGAGACACCATTTTTATCAGTAAGATATTGTTACATGTGTGCATCAAAAGTCCTACTTAGGAGAACGCTATTTTGTGGGAGAATTTTTTCATGGCAAATTCTATTTCTACTACATCGGTCTAATTTAAAGTTTACCAAGAGGAATTTAAAGTAAACCTGGAGGAAACCATGAAGTTTCAAATGCAGAATAAAAAATTGCAAACTAGCAAAATGCGAACAAACTATTGCATATTTCCATACTGTGTAATCTTGTCATAATTTGTTTGCATTTTGTGTTTTTGAATTTTAGTTCTGAATTTGAAACTTTATGCTTTACTCTAAGTCCTACATGGCTTTATGCTTTATCCAAACTAACCTTTTTTCATAATTTAAATTTATATAAGTGAACGAGTATTTGTAATGAAGAGTTTCTATCACAGCATATCTTCCTCCTAAGGTCTCAAAAGTAGTAGAAAGGAATTAAAATCTTTAGTTACTCAATTAGTAGTTGCAATAATTGAACTTTTTTAGTTCTATATAATTTAAGTGTAACTTTTTTGGAGCATTTCTTAAAGTTTCTTTTCTTTGTGGTATTCTATAACATCAGTAATTTTGATAAGTTTTATTATTTTCATGGCTTAATATATATATANTATAGTTATATATATAATTGTTTGACTAATGAGATTGAAATAATGAAATATAAAAATGCTCTATTAGCCAAATTTATTGAACTTCTAAAGGAAAAAATGTCTTTTTCACATTGCAGGGTTCCTACACGGTCAGGAAAGCCTGCAAAAGTCAGGATATTCTAAAATTAAGCTAAGATGTCAGGATTTTTCTTACATATTCATAAAGTCGGGAAAAAGTCAGGATTTTTCTTACATGTTCATAAAGTTAGGAAAGTAAAAAAACTATAGTTCATTCAAAGACTGACAGGCAAAAATAAAGTTTCAAGGAAAAATTCTGTAATTCAAAATATGTAATTTCCTCATAATAGCATTCCTCTTTCCTTGGTAGAACCTGTCCTGTTAGCAATTTTCCTCCTGTTTATCCAATGATACAGAATTTTTGATAGGGTTGCTAGGTTTATTGCTCTTTGTGTGAATAACTGGTTTACAGACAACAGTTGAGAAAATTTCCTCTTTCTTGCACATGGAACATTTGTCTTAACCAATATTTACTTTTTTTAGTATTTTTCAAGATAGGTTTAATTTAAGTTGAATTTTCTTCTGAAATGAAATGATTCATTGAATTTTTAATCTGCAAAATAAGGTGAGTACTATTATTCATATTTTTTTATTGTATTATTATTATTATTATTTTTTTTGCATGAATCTATTTCCATCCTTGTCTAAAAGTCTTCTTTGCTTAATATGCTTATGTTTAAAATGACACAAATGAAATAGGATTTAAAAATTGAAATTATTTTATTTTGTCATTATATATGTTAACTAAAATAAAAATATATGTATAAATATGGGAGTTGTAAGATACCCCTCCGAGCCAGGAATTTTTTTCTTCTTGATTATTTAATGAATTTTAAATGAATTTTTCAAAATTGTCCTTTAGCATTATGGGGGGCGGGGGTTAAAAATATATTCTGCAAACTATTAGAAGAAAATCTTTACAAGATGATCTATTTCTGACTATAAGGAAAAGTTATGTATTTCATTTGCAAAATTAGTTTTTAAAAATCTCCCTCCCCAGTCCTTTGAGGAGAGTGGTAATTATATTGTGAAATTTATTAGGGTTTAGAAAGGAAGCTTCATCAATAACCAAATTCAGGTTATATGGAAAAGTTATCTAAGTATTTTTTTTAAATTACTTTTTCAAATGGAGTTAAGAGAAGGGTTTTTTGAGAAAGGGAGAGAGAAAATTATATTGGTAAATCTGTTAGGGGTTAAGAGAAGACACTTTGCAGGATGCTTGATGACAGGAAGTAAGAAATTGAAGAATTTTTTTGAAAAATACAAAATTTCCTCCCCGGCATTTTTGTTGTGAAATGATATGTTTTGTCTCGGCCTCAATAGATGGCGCAAGCTGTCCTGTAAGTGAAGAGTTTTTTGTTTACAATTTTTTTTGTCAGAATATCTTGTTCTTGTTGAATTTATATATTTTTTGCAGTTTCTAGTTTTCTGTTATGTTGTGCTAGCATTATGTCCCACCCCAAAATGAACAAATTACTTTTAGATATTTCATTTTCTAGTTATTTTTGAGTATTTTATTTTTATGGTGCTACTGTAAAATTTACCTGGTGACCTAAATAATGCAGATTCTGTTCTGGAAGATTAATTGCACAGTAAGAAGTTTTAATTATCTCATTCTGAGCAATCAGAAAAAGTGTCCTTGCTATTATTGTTTGTAAGTGTATTCCTGTATGTTTTCGGGTGGAAAACAAGTTATTTTTTCTAATGTTGGGAACAATATATTAGCCTTATTCAAAGTCACTTTTGCTTTTGATTTCCTATAGTCTTCTAGATATCTCATTAGCTTATTTCGTTTTGAGCCCAACAACTTTTGAGGCGGGATATATGCCAGGATCTATTTTTGCTTTTTAATCAATTAAAGCTGTATTATAAGCAAATCTGTGTATCAATTATTGAATCTCTTAAATAGTTATTTTTTTAGAAATTTTTTTCGGAATTACATCTTGATTTTCATCAAAAATTTTAATTTTAATAAATGATAAATCAAATTTATTTACCCTATTAAAATCAAAATGTAATAGGCATACACAATTTCCTTGTAAATGGTATCAAGATACTTCCATATCAATTTCATTAGTTGTGATTAAAAAGTAAGACACATGAAGCAATTGGAAATGGGAAAATCTTATTTTGAGAAGAAAAAAAATTAAGTTTTAAAGTGACATAATATTTGAAAATGAAAGATTTCTTGTCATACTGCAATATTTGATTCAAAATTAGTCCCTTTAGGTTGCAGAGGGCTCACATAATGCATTATTCTATCTGAAATTAGATTAGTCTAACATTTAACACCCCACAATTGTAGGTACCCCTGGGCTCTGGCTTTTTGAGGGGTTTTAAAATTTGTTGACAATGATTTTTTTACTTTCAGAGCATAAAGTGTTTTTGAAAACATTCCTCTTGGTTTTTTTAAGACAATTGTCTTTTTCAAACAGTGTTTTCACTGGGCGTAGAAATTTGTTGACGATTTTTAACTTTCAAAATGAAATGTCTTTATGAATGTGGTTTTTGTTGCCAAGCTCCGTGCATATATAAAATCTGTTCCTACTCTAATTATTGAAAAAAATCATTCATTCTTGGGGAGGGGTATTTAAGTTAAAGAGACATACATTTAGAGCCATTATCAGTGAGGGGGTAAATGTTTTATCAAGATAGCCCCCGGAAGTGTGAAGTACCTTACAGAGAAGGTTTTGTTTATTGATTTTTATTTGCATTCTGAGCCCTGAGAACATGTTTACATTATGTTGGTATTTTTTTAGGCGTGTCTTGATAGTATGATATTCCAAGTCATAGAGAAAAAATAAATGTACAGAAATGTTATCTTGTTTTTTCCATACATATTAAAAAAATTTTTTTATCTAATTTGAAATGGGTAGAATATTGTTTCTTACATAAGTAACTTAAGTGAATCATTTATGAATAAAATTGCTCCTCTCCCCCCCCCCCCCGGCTAAAGAGAATACAAGGGCTAGTTCACTCCGCTCTTAGAGCTGAAGCTACGATCGCTCTTAACCTAAAAGATAAAAAGAAACATTCATTTTTATTAAATGGATGTCCAATATATATTTTTTTTATTAATAAAAGTAGAGAGAACGAAACAAACGTTAAAGTTTATATCGGCGGTAAATTGATAATGACTTTAATACGAGATATGTGTTTTTTCTTATTTCGAGTTAATTGTCTCGAATATTCTGAATTACATCAGAAAAAAATTGAAAGTCAATTATTCCCCCTTGTAATTGTGTTCATTTATATTCAGGCAAATTAATTAATTTTTTTCCTACAACATTTAAAAAAAGACAAACAATGAAGGAAATGCAAAAAAAAAATGAACAAGAATTCTATCTTAAATTCAGTGAAAACACCTAATTTTGATGGAATTTTGAATGTATTAAACCAGAGAGAAATGTGACTGTTTAAAATTTACTTCCTGCTTTTGACTAGAAAAATAATTTGGGAATATTCAAAGAAAATTTGTTTTGCGTGTTTTAACTTTAAAATAAGCTTCTGTAACCATTTTTGCACAATTAACTAAACTTCTTTAAACCATTAAAATCTACTTATAAATAGTGTTTTTTAAATCATTTTGAAATAAAGAATACAGTTCTGACCGACAAGAGTGAACTATCTAACTGATTAATAAAACTTACTTATTTTTGAATAAAATTACAAAAAATGTAGCTTATTCAAAAACGATATTTATTGCCGATTATTATTATAAAAATTAGAAATGAAAACGATTATTATTATAAATAAAAACGATATTATTATAAATAAAAACGATATCATTATAAATAAAATCGTTATTATTGTATAACGATTATTATTCTAATAAAAACGATTATTATTATAAATAAAAACGATATTATTATAAATAAAAACGATATTATTATAAATANATGGAGGTGCTCTACGTGTTCTATTTCAGACCGCGGCAAGAGATACTTCAAAGGAGTGAACCAGCCCTTCTATTCTCTTTAGCCCTGTCTCCCCCCACCCCTATTTCATAACAATCTATTTTTTGTACATTTCTTTTATTTGTGTATAAAATAAAATTAAGCCACAAAATTAAGTTTTATTTCATCCCCTCCGCCGCCACCCAGCACCAAAACATGTTTAACATAATTTTGTAGTATTAGCAAGATATTATTTTTAATTTGACTAACAATGTTTTTTTCTTATATAGGTGCTGTATTAAAAATTATGCCTGAAAATAAAACATACTTTAATGTGGATTGGATAAATACAGAATTACATGCTCAGTGGTCTGAGTGGCTTGCACCAGTATCGAGTTCTCCGTTCCAAGCATTTTACAAAAAATGTTACAAAA